CACCTCCCCCAAGAGCCTTCCCCCATAATGCACTGCACATGTGCTCTCCCGTAACGAAGATTATTTGGTGCTTTCATGTCTAATCACTTGAAAGATTTTCAGCTCCTGAAGCTTTATGAAGAAAATTATTCCCCAAGTATGGAAATATGAACTGTGCCTTCATCAGCGTTCACTGTGAAATTTCATTTTGTAAAATCCCCTGGGGCCCCTCAAGAGAGACCTGAGCATCATTCCTAAAGCACCCACAGGCTCAAAGGACATTGAATGAGCTCCTTTCTTAACTGACCCTGGTGAACTCGCGAGCTTGCTGCAGGCCTGCTGGGCAAGCGGGAGGATTCTGGGTCTGCTGGAGTCTACACTTCCTTCGTGGTGAGGGATGAGGGCCGGTGAGTCACAGTAGCATGTGTGATGAGGTAGACCGGTGGGCCTCAGGTCCAGACCAGCATGTGCGGCAAGGTGCGTGGGCCTGGGAATCAGGCAAAGGGGGAATTGGGAGATAGCCCCTTGGAGGAGCGAGCAGGTAGTCAGGCCAGGTCAGAAGACCCCAGGCCACAGAGAGCAGCGCACAGGCTGCTTCACCCATGGTCCTCGGACAAAGACAGAGACAAGACATGGACAGTGACAACACTCAGGCCTTCTGACCCCCAATCCAGCGCTTTTTCCAAAAAGATTTGAACAGAACAAAGGAAAGATAACTCCCAGATTTAGAACCAGGGTGAGCGGGAGGATGGTGCAGACCTTGAGAACAGTGGGGTGTGGGGAGTCTGAGAAACATTTGTTTGTTTCCAATCGCCCCATGAAATTCCGTGCAGCATTCCAGGCTCAGAGTGCTCAGCCTCAAGGAGCTTGAGCAGACAGGTCTTTGGTTATTGTTTTACTGTGGTCAAGTAGGCATCACATAAAACTGACCATCTTCACCCATGGCAGGTGTACAGCTCTTTGGCATCGAGCACCTTAACATTGTACAACCATCACCGCCAACCATCTGCAGAATAGTTGTTCTTCACAATCTCCAAATGGAGATACTGATTTTCCCTCCCTGCGGCCCTGTCCCAACACTCTGCTGTCTGTATGGCCTGACGGCTCTCAGCCTCTAGTGCAAGTGGAGTCGTGCAATCTACCTCTTTTTCCCATGTCCATCACTTAGCATAATGTCTTCAGAGTTCACCTGTGTCGTAACAGGCGTCAAGATTTCATTCCTTCTCGATACTCCGTGATATTACAGTGTATTATACACCACATTTTGCTTCTCCACTGAAGGACAGTCAATGGATCCTAGAGCTGTTCCTACCTTTTGGCAGTTGTGAATGATGCTGTTATGAATGTTTGTGTACCAAGATCTGTTTGAGTCCTTGATTTCAATTCTGTTTGGTATATACCCAGAAGTAGAATTGCTGAATCATGCAGTACTTTCATTTTCCACAGTGGCTTTTTACATTCCCAATGCACAAGGGCTCCAATTTCTCTATGTCCTCATCAACACTTGTTATTTTCTTCTTATTATTTTTATAATAGTCATCCTAATGGGTATAAAGTGGTATCTTACTGTGGTTTAGATTTGCATTTTCCTAATGGTTGGTGATGTTGAATACCCTTTCATGTGCTTATTAGCCATCTGCGTATCTTTGAAGAAATGTCTATTTAAGTCCTTTGCCCATATTTTAGTTGTTTTGTCGTTGTTATTGAGTTGCAGGAGTTTTAATATATTCCAAATATTAATCCCTGATCAGATATACAATTTTCAAATGTTTTCTCCCATTCTGTTGATAGTGTCCTTCGATGCAAGAAGATTTTAACTTTGATGAAGTTCAGTTTATTTATTTGTTCTTCTGTTACTGGTGCTGTTGGGGTCAGAGTCAAGAAGTCACTGCCAAATCCAATGTCGCGAAGCTCTTATGATTAAAAATTTGATCCATTTTCAGTTTGTATTTTGTATATGGTATAGGATAAGGGTTCAGTCTCATTTTTTCACATGTGACTATCCAGTTTTCCCAATACCAGCTATTGAAAAGATCACCCTTTTGGAAGAGTCATTTCATCCTTGTCAAAATATGAAGGGTTATTTCTGGGTTTTCTGTCCTACTTCATTAGTCTATATGTTTGTCTGTATGTCAGTACCACACTATTAAAAAATGAGCTATTTTAGATTCACAGCAAATTGAGCAGAAGGGACAGATTTCCTATAAACTTAATGTCCCTGCATATGCACAGCCACCCCCACCATCAACATCCAGCACCAGAACGATACATTTGTTACAACAGATGAACCTACATTGTAATATCATTATCACCCAAAGTCTGTAGTTTATGGTAGGGTTCACATTTGGGGATATACATTCTGTGGATTTGGACAAATGTAAAATAACATGTACCCAGTATTATGGGATATAGGGTAGTTTCACTGCCCTGAAACTCCTCTGTGCTGTCTAATCATCCCTCCCTCCCTCTAGACTCCTGACAATCACTGCTATTTTTCCTGTCTCCTTAGATTTTGCCTTTTCCAGATTGTCACATAGTTGGAATCATATAATATATAGACTTTTCAAATGGGCTTCTTTCACTTAGAAATACACATTTCAGTTTCCTCCATTTTTTTCCTCATGGCATGATAGATAATTTCTTTTAGTGTTTGTTAATATTCCATCGTCTGGATGTACCACAGTTTATTTATCCATTGACTTATTGAAGGTCATGTCGGTTTCTTCCAAATTTTGGCAATAATCAATAAGCTGCTATAAACGGTTGTGTTTAAGTTTTTTGTGGACATAAGTTTTCAACATTTGGATAAATACCAAGGAGCACAATGGCTGTATCCCATAGTACGAGTATGTTTAGTTTTGTAAGAAACTGCCAAAATATCTTCCAAAGTAGCTGTATCATTTTGCATCCCCACCAACAACAATTGAGAATTCCCGTTGCTCGATATCTTCATCAGCATTTGGTATTGTTCGTGTTTTGGATTTTGGCCATTTTAATAGATGTGTACTTGTATCTTGTCATTTCACACACTGTTTTGATTACTATAGCTTTGTTATAAGTTTTGATAACAGGAAGTATGACACCTCCAACTTTATTCTTTCTTTTTGAGTTTGTCTTGGTTACTTAGGATCCCTTGAAATTCCATATGAATTTCAGGGTATACTTTTTTTATTTCTGTAAAAAATTCATTGGGGTTTTAGTAGGGATTACATTGAATTTGTATATTGTTTTAGGTAGAATTGATATTTTAACAATATGAAATCTTTCAATCCATGAACATAGGATATTTTTCCATCTTTAATTTCTTTCAGCAACATTTCATAATTTTCTCTAAGTCTTTCTCTTTCTTGGTTAATGCCCAAATATTTTATTCTTTTTTGATGCTACTATAAAAAGAATTGTTAATTTTATTTTTGGGTTGTTCATGGCCAGTATAGAAAAACAACTGATTTTTATGTGTTTATTTTATAACTTGAAACTTTACTGAATTTATTATTTCTAACAGTTTGTGTGTGTGTATGTGCATGCGTGCATACCTGTAAGATTTTCTACAGATAGGATCATATCACCTGCAAACAGAGGGAATTACTTCTTCCTCCTCATGTGGATGCCTGTTATTTCTTTCTCTTGCCTATTGTTCTGGCTTGAACTTTCAATAATGTGTTGAAGAGCAGTGTCCAATTCCTGATCTTAAAGGGAAGGCTTTCAGTCTTTTATCATTGAGTATGATGTTACTCAGTCTTTTATCATTGAGTATGAAGTTGTTTTTAAAAAGAACTTTAAAAAAGGTGGGATTATAAGACTGGGATCCATTTATAATTGTATTTTTTTATATTCTAAGATCTAGCAAAGTGTCTAGCACATAGTAATAATTGGAAGGATAGGTCTTAAAATAAAGATAGTTTCTCAAAACTGAATGAGCTAAAGGCACTTCTTACTGAAGGGTTGATTTGGGATTCAGGAGAGTGGCAAGGATTGCAGGCAACCAGAAGGGTAATAAGGAAGCATCAATTCCACAGACACAAATGTTAGCCTCACATTACAGGCAGGAGAGCCCCTTGGATAGTCTGCTTTTTAGAGAGAACTTTCTGGTGAAGTTTTTCTTCCCTTTTCATATTAGCATGTAACAGCTGGAAGAAAACAACATATGTTGTATCTCTTTATATTTATGAGTACTGAATTAATAACTTCAATCTATTGGATGCAAAGAAAATGAGTGAAATGCTATAAATTATAGATGACAGTTGTTAATGCTAATAGAGTATGTAACTTATGCTTTACTTTGGCACAATTTTGAATAGTGTGAATGATTTAAAGGGCTTAAGTCTGTTTACCTTTATTTTAATTCGGAATATTTGGAAAGCATGGTGTTGCCACCATTTTATGAGTAATTCTGTATTCCTCCATCAGAGTTTAATCCTCTCAACCTAGAGTTGATAAACATTCTGATTGACTATGGGCTTAGAACAGAAAAATCAAATGATTTTATGAAATGTGTTGGCATTTCTCCCCATTTAGACTTTTACCAAGTTGGTTGTACATATGAACTACCAAGAGAGAGAGAAATCAGTCTTTTGGCAGTGGGTTCAGAATTACAATTTTCAGTGAAAGAAGAATATGTTTTGGGATTTCAATAGTCCTGAATTCAAATCCTGATTCCTTCCCTTACCAGCTCTTTCTCAGCGCTGATTTTCTCATCAGTAAAATGGGACTAATTCTTTTTAGGGTAGTTATAAGGATTAAAATGGGAAGAGTGCCTTTAAAGTTACTAGCAGTGCCTGCCACACAGAATCAGAACTCCGCCCTTCAGGGGCTGTGATCCTGAGCAAGTTACTCAGCCTGTCTCAATCTGTTTCTTCACCCATGAAACGGGAAATTATATCACTACCTCCTGCATGTGTCCTATACGAGCATCCGGTCACACGATGTAGGCCAGGGTGCCAGGACTGTACATAACAGGCACTCAGTGTGGGAGCGGCTCCTGTTGTCCTTGTACTAATCACATTTCCTCTTTCCTCTAGTTCCCATTTGGCCGACGTCTGCCTTGTGACATCTACTGGCATGGAGTTTCATTTCATGACAATGACATATTCTCCGGTCAAGTGAACAAGTTTCCAGGTATCAGCTGTTACTGTTGGCATTTAAAAGTATTTCTAGGGTTGAGTCTAAGGGTACATTCTTCTATAAAAACATGACAGTGTTTGCAGATGAAAGTCAAGGACTCTTAATTGGGAATCGCTGCCTGCATTCTGCCTCAGGGACATTACCTTGGGGAGGGAGGTGATCGGGACTTCACCCGCCCAAGGCTTGAAGACTGGAGGTTCAGAGCATAAGAAAACAGGCTTTGCTGGTCTAGTTCCACTGGAAGCACATGATTTTCACCTTTTAAGTTGTAGATATAATATGGGGTGTAATGAGGGAACTGTAGTCTCAAAAGAAAAAAAGAAAAAAGAACATTTCAGTCAAATAGTTTGCAGAAACAGAAGTACTAAAAGCCTAGGACTCAATCACAGAATCACAGAAATGGGTTAGCAGCTTCCCTTTTCTTGAAGTCTCTTATTGGGAGGTCTCATTTAAAAACCCAGCACACCAGTCTCTGCGCTAGGGATGGTGGCAGACAGCGTCTGCCTTGAACTTGAGGACATTATCTCAGTCCCTTGGTGCCAGAAAAGTGGCCTAATCAACATTTGAATATACATGCCCTGGCTCCACTTCTAGCACCCCCATACACCACTTCATTTTACTTTTGCTCTCTATCCCCTCTCTGATGCTTGGATTGTTATTCATCATCTTTATGGCTGAGGAAAAGGGAGGTTAGGGTCAGCTCCAGGAGTTGGTGAGAAAGGAACATTTGGTTAAGCTGGGCATGATTACAGCCTGAAGGTCTGTCACTTATTTTCAGAAATTGTAACATAATATGACAAACCATGCATACCACAATAATAATTTCTCAAAAGAGCATCACCCTGAATCCCATCCCACATTTAACAAAGCCTCAATGTATTTCGGTATTTATCCCCCAAGCCCTAGCCAGGCTGGGGTATCGGTTCTACATAGTTGCCAGCAGCATGTAGTGCTGGACTAGAAGGTGTTTTCTCTTGGCATCATTATCTTTTTGCTTATTTTAAGGAGATTCAATTTACTCTTTTTTCTTCAGCATCCTCTGCTACGTTTTTAAGAAAACACCTCTCAGGAAGCCCCAAACTCTCACCTCCTTCATGCCTCGGGGTGCCGTGGGTTTTCCACTAAGCCGCAGATTTCCTTGCACCTCACTGGGCTGACGCTCACCCAGGACCTTGTGCAGGAAGCAAGCTTGCCTCTGGGTGATGCAGGCATTTCTCTGCAGGGCAGTGTCTTCACAGTGTTCCAGGGCCTAGTCATTGGCGCCTCAAGTGTGAACTCTGCTCTGGTGGGTGATGGTCCATCTTGGCTAAGACCCTCTCCCACCAGCCAGTGTCTTGTAACTACGCCCGGCACAGACCCAGGGTCCCCGCAACAACATACTGTGTTACAAGAGCCTCTAGATCCAGGAAGACCCAGAGCTTCGTCTTCCCTTGGTATTTACACAGGGACATAGATTTTGTTGTCCAGTAGCGAGCAGCTAAATTTCCACTTTTACTGGTTTCCAGGGAAACCAGAAAATTAGCCCAAGGTCAGATCTGCCCTTGAGGAAGAGAAAGGGTTTTGTCAGGGAACAAGGACAAACCTTGCAGCCAGGGTCTTCGCACACCAGTTGCAAGAGACAACCTGTATTTTCTCCGGGTTGCTGCTCAGAAAAGGTGACCTTTAATGCCACCGAAAACACGGGCAAACAGAATTGGGAGAAAACAGCTCTTTGGATATGACAGGAGCTCTTGAAGCATGAATCAGGAAATGAAACTTTACATTTCATGTGCAAATGAAAATGTATCTTTTCCCATTTGCTCAGACCTTCTCAAATGGCAGGGAAGAAGTAGCAGCTATGGCTCGACACTGGAGCACCTGCTAGGACCAAACAAACCTAAAGGACCAGTTACATGAAAATAGCTGCCACTGTTCATTCCCTGGGAGCACGTTCGTTCGCCCTCCCGTATTCCACATGCCAGTGATAAGAACAGACGATTTTCCACTTTACTAACAGCAATTAATTAGCTCTAATGACAAAGCTGGCTCTGGAACTTCTAGGCAGTGGGCCGTGCTGTCCCGCCCTCTGCCCGGTGACAGACAGCCACCCGGCGCCCCGGGGCCATTACGGGACAATCTGTGCTGCAGCTCCAGTTTGCATCCAAGCTTATCTCCTGTCCCTCGGCTATCCCATTACTCCAAAAGCACCGTTTCTATTACTTAGAGTAAATTCCTGAGGAGGAGCCAGGCAAGAGCAAACACTCCACGAGCTGAAAGCTGAAAGCCTCTGGTTACGCATATGGAAGTGATTTATTTTCTTTGTGTCAGCACATTAGATTTTAGCCACTTTTCTATGGGCAATTTCCTTCGAGATCTGTGATTGTATCTTAACTGATGAATTAAGACTTTCTATAAAAATAATCCGATTTACATATGTCTTTATTTTGAGAAAGTTCAGAACTGTCGATTCTCAGCTTATGAGCAACAGTCTTTTTTGTTTTTGTTTTGTTTGCTGCATTTCAGGTCTGGGATGTGGGGGGGTGGGCTCCTGGCAGGTGGTTCCTAAGAACTACCTACCCCATGAGGGGACTTTCTGTCAGAGGGGGAGGGCTCCAGGGAGGAATTTGCCTGTCATTCAGTGAAGAGCGTGTGGCTCAGGATGGCTCGAAAAGGGCAAGTGTGATAGGGAGGACAGAGGTGATAGGTAGGGGCCAAAGGTCATGGGGTGCCACAGAAATTTTTAAGCCCAGACTGACACATGGGCCAGCGTGCATGTCGCAAAGATCAGCCAAAGGGGAAGCTACCAGGGGCAGTTGGGGAGGCTGAGGGAGGACCCAGAGCTCAGAGGCTGTTGCAGCATCCGGCCCAAGAATGATTGAGCCTGGGGCAGTGGAAACAGAGAGGAGGAGGTGGCCCTGATGGGGGTGCTTGCTGTTTGGGGGCTGCCGTGTGCTTTGGCCAAGAATTATAATCAGGAGTGATGTTTGGATTCAGCAGTGCTCCCAACCTGACTCAGATTTTGTTTGTTTTAATTGGGTCAAAGTAGGTCTGTGTGGGCCAGCCCGAGGGCCAAGCCTTGACGCTCATGTAACTGCACGTGGGATGAGTCCTTGCAGCAGACTGAAGGACGCAGGCCCGAAGAAGCCCCAAATGGAGTTAAGGACTTTCCCAGTTGTTAGGGGAACTGCCACTATAGGGACGTTAGGGGCAGACCTTGTGGAGAAGAAGGTAGGCAGTCAGCTCACAAGGATCTATTAGTGGGTAGCTGGACCCCAGACACTGGGCTAGCCACCGGCAGGAGGACCCGTCCCCTGTAGGGCAGGCTTGGGAGGGACTGAGGAAGGACACTGAAGAGAGCATGGCAACGACATTGCTAAGGCAGCCACTTAGGCACTAGGAACCAAAGACAGGTTACCAAATTTTGGGGACAAAGCAATGACACCTCAGAAAAACAGTTGAAATTCTATTTACCTAAGTGGAGCAGAGAGTCAAGGCCAAAGTTAGAAGTGGGGAGATCTCATGGTTTCCCCTAGAGCGTCCACTTTATGACCTGAGTCCCAGAGCCTAGGGTAGGGGTTGCCCTAGAGGTCACGTGCTGTAGGTGCTTAGAGAAAGGAGGGCTGCCAATGGCCCCCACCCCTTTGCAGACATTTACTCCGGGGTCAGCTAGGAGCACAGCTACTGTGGTCAGCACCTCACTGAGAAACAAGTGACGGCTCCCCACATCTGTCTTTGAACCAGCCACAGGCTCCTCGTGGGGTCTAATGAGGTGGGGGAGACACTCTTCCTGGCAGCGTTGGTTGGGAACACAGCTTAGACTTGGCGGAGAAACAAAGGTTTCCAAAGTAAGCAGAGAGAAGGAGGTTTGCACTGGTGCCTCCTGGAGTTAGCGGGTTAGGCAGGAGTAGGGGTGAGCAGACTGCAACCCACATGCTGGATGTGTTGGGAAAGGTGACTGTTGGCTCGTAGGGATGTGCTTCTAAGGAGGACTGTTTTCAGTAGAGAACGGCCTGGAGACAGACGTACAGGTAATGTGGGAAACAGTCCTACTAGCTCCTGTGGGGCCCGATGACCCACGTTACAAAAGGGGCCTTTGCAGATTTAAAATGAGTATATACTCCACTGGCTGGACCTTGACTTTCATGGAACCTTCTGGAACATCAAAATCTGACTCCTGTACTCAGTGCACTTCTTGTATTTTTCGGAAAGAGACTCTTTCCCTTACACCACTGTTAACACACAGGAGATGTCACACCACCTTCCCATCTGTCTGGAGGCATCGTCCCTCTGCTGTGGGGTGCGGTATGCTAGTCAGTTGTGAGGTTTGTACTTGAACACTATCGCTAAAATGCTGCTTAAATACAAGTAAAAAGGTTCAAAAAAACAAGTTGAAATTTTGTCTCCTGTACTTTAAAATGCTCAGCTCCAGTGTTTATGATTCAAAAATTCCAATTACCTGGGGTAAATGAAAGGAAATAGCTGTGATTTTCCAGATGCATGCTTATTTCTTGGGAAGCTCTGAACAGCGTCCTCAGTGAGTTTTCTTTAATATGGAAGAATCTAGAGCACAGTTTATTGGTACTTCTTAAGCTCCTTTATTTCTTACTTAATTCATCTCTATCACCTTCCAACCAAGAACCAAGAACCTGGGCACTGCAATCTTGAAGCTGTGATCTGGAGGTTTATTGCTCTTTTTAATACGCCGAGGAAAACAAGGAAGAGGTTATTCAACCTTCACTCTTGAATGTTCGCCCGATGCCTCCTGAGAAAGGAGTTTAGAGAAACCTCGTTCTTTCTGTCTGTGCCCATTTGGAATGTGTGATAATTTGGACATGCCAAGCTGGCACGAACCTCTGTGCTTTCTACTAAAAATAACTGTGCTAAGCACATCTCTAGTGTCAGTAATGGAACTATTTAGCCTTTCTCACGGAGAGGCCAGTGGTAGTCTCCATTTTTAGCAGTGATCTTTGCCTTAAGAAATAAGCGTGGTAATATTTAAAAATAATTTTTCCTTGTTAGCTTGAAAGTTGCCTTTCAACTTGTAGAGGAGACTCCTTGTCTTCCCTTGTCAGAGTTACTAAAGGTGTGCCGAGGAAAAAAATGCACTGTTCTTTGAAAATGTTTTATAAGTGAGACATTTCAGTCCCCTCTGGGCATATTAATGAGATCTGATCAATGTCAGCCTCAGTACTTTAAACTGAAGAACTCCTACGGATTCCATTTTCCTCCAAAAACTCTAATTTATGCTGATATCCTTTTTACTTCCTGTCCTTAATTCAAGGAGACGGATTTTGTGCTGAAAGGTATATATTTTTCTGTGCCATTTCTTTAATACTCATGAAAGATTTAAACAAAGCAGCTTCACTAAGCTTCTCATAAAATAACCAAGAATCCACTAGATAATATTCTCTAGGCTATAAAATAAGATGGAAAGAATCTCACAAGTATGTTTGCTGGTCCCAAATCAAAGAGGACCTTGAGTTTTAAGTGCAAGATATAAATGCTTCTCTTTATTCGTGATCCAGGGGACTGGCAAAGTGGAATAATAAACTGGGTTGGAAATTCACTCTTTCAGACTGATGCTTCATTTTTATCAGGAGAAAAAAATCATCTGTCCGTTAGCTCAAGTTTTTCATTAGTTTGGTACATCTTTCCAAACCGAGTCACCGCTGCGGGGAACAACTCATACCTTTTTTAATCCTGTCTGAAAAAGTGAATCTGTTGGGTGGGTGGTTTTGAAAGTCCCCAATAATGGCTGTTTTATAGCTAGTGGCCCACTGTTGTTAAAACCTCACAGCTTCTCTTCTCCCCAGGCATGACGGAGATGGTGCGTAAAATTACTCTGAGCAGAGCGGTGAGAATCATGCAGAATCTCTTTCCAGAGGAGTACAACTTCTACCCTCGCTCATGGATTCTGCCTGACGAGTTCCAACTCTTTGTTGCTCAGGTAGATGGCACTCTGTCCCCACGACCCTTGAATTACGTCATGGTTGCAACTGTGTCCTGGGTCCTGTGTGCTGGGAGCTGGGGCAAGGTATCCCCAGGAAGCTGAGACAGCTGCGGGGGTGTCTTAATAGTACACAAGTAGGTGTTGGAAGCAACCAAGGCAGCTTGCAGAGTAGCACGGTTAGGGTGACAGGTAGGTAAACTGAGGAAACCGGTCTTGACCAGAGGAGACAGGCCTGAGGCTGATAGTGGGAGCTGGGTCATGGAGTCAGGGCATCTGGAGGGAAAAAAGCTGGAGCAGCTGGTAGAGCCCAGAAGGGCACTGGGGCTGTGGAAACGTGTCCTAGAGCTGGGGTGTCCCCAGCATCTCATGGTATGAAATGTGGGAAGTCAGGCTGCATTGATGTAGGTGAGACAAAATGAGGGGGAAAGCTTTTAAGGGTCCTGGCTTAAATTTATTCCAGAAGCAATTTTTAGATGACCCAGATCAAAGCAATATATTGGAGTACAAAACGCTTGGTTGTGAAACACAGCCAGGAGTGGAGCTAAATTCAGAGCGGCCATTCTGGTTGGCCTGTCAATGGTTTCATTGAGGGCTGCTTCAAAGTCTTGAGCGACAGGCTCCAAGCTCCTCCCTCTGAGGATAACTAACAACAAGCGCCTGATTGTTGATCCTACCATGCTCCCGGCACTGTGCTAGACGCGTACTGTTACTCCTTTTAGTCCTTACAGCAATCTTGTGAAGTTGCTTGTGTTATTATCCCCATTTTATGGACGAGGAAATAGAAGCTTTGAGAAATGAAGTGATTTGCCCAAGAAGGAGTACTTTGCCCCTAGAGCGGCTTTCAACACTTAAGGTTTTGGAATCTACCTCTTTGCCTCCTTGTTGTCTTCTGTTTAACACTGATTTATAAAGTTTGTAATAAAATTATGATTTACAAAATATAAAAGAAAGCTCTATGGGATGTTGATCATGTGGGTCTGTATACATGGAATTACGAACCTCAAATTGGTGTGCAAAGTATGCTTCAGTAACATTAATTTAAAAAATAAACTATCAACTCTACCCTACACTTGCTCCCCAATTTCTCACTTCTGTGCTCTGCTTATGTTATTGTGGCTCATACCTTTCTTTCCCATTTTACATCGATACCTAACTATTCCTGAAGGCCAAATTTAAATAAGATACCTACTGTGTTTTCAAAATCAGATAAGTAAAAAGACCATTTCCATCATCCTCAGAAGTTCCTCTGTGTCTCATTGCTGTCCATCCTCAGCCTCTGATCTGCACGCTTATTATAGATTGGTTTTGCCTGTTCAAGAACCATATAGTAGGTATCTTTGAAGTCTATTTCATTTTTTTTTCAGAATTATATTTTTGAGATTCATCCATGTTTGTTGTGTAGATCAGTAGTTCATATTTTTATTGCTGAGTAGAGTTCCATAGTATGAATATACCACAATCTATTTATCCCTTCACCAATGAGTGGACATTTGGGTTATTTCAATTTGGGGGATATTAGAAATAAAACTGCAATGACTAATCATGGCCAACTATTTTGTGGATATTAGTTTTTATTTTTCTTAGGTAATAACTAGGACTGGAATTTATGGGCTGCATGGTTTGTGTATGTTTAACTTTGTAAGTTGCCAAACTGTTTTCTGAAGTGGGCTTACCACTTTCTACTACCATCCAAGTGTGCGAGTTCTGTTGTCCAAGGCCATTGCCAGTACTTGATGTTGTTAGTCTTTTGAATTTTAGGCATTCTGGCTAATTACAGTTGTGTATCTTTATGGTTTTAATTTACACCCCCCCCCCACACCGATGACTAGATGTTGAGCATCTTTTCAAATGCTTTTTCAATATTTGAATATATTCTTTTGTTAAGTGTATATTCAAAATTTTTGCTTATTTTAATGAGCATCTTATTTTTAGCTTGTTGGTTCTTTATATATTTAGAGACAAGTCTTTCATATATGTATTGTTATGTATTTGTATATATGTTGTGAATATTTTATCGCACTTGACTTTTCCAAGTCTTAACTTTGAAGAGCAAAGCAAAAGTTTTTAATTTTGAGGAAGCTGATTTATGAGTTTTTTCTTTCATATTTTCTGCTTTTTGTAACATTAAGATATCTTTACCTAACTAAAAGTTATGAAGAGTTTAGACTTTACTTTTTTTCTACATGCTTTGTAGATTTAACTTTTGTATTTTCCATGATCCATTTCAAGTTAGTTTTTGTGAGAATAAGGTTAAAGTTTTACTTATTTTTATTTGAATATTCTGTTGTTTCAGCATCTTTTGTTGAATTGATTGTCATTTCTTCTATTAAATTGGCTTGATATCCTTGTTGAAAACCAACTGACACATATGTTTTGGTCTGTTTCTGGACTCCGTTTTGTTCCACTCATCTGTATGTTTACTCTTATGCTAATATTGCATATTATCTTAGTTACTATAGTTTTATAGTCAGTCTTGAAAATCAAGTTAGGTGAATCTTCCTACATTATTTATCTTCTATATTGCTCTGGCTATTATAGGTCCTTTGCATTTCCATATCAATTTTGTAATCAAAATTACAAAGAATCCTGCTGGGACTTTGGTTGGAATTGCACTGGATTTGCAGATCAGTCTGGAGCAGTGGCCATCTTAACAATGTAAAGTCATTTAATCCATGATTTTTCCTTCTTTCTTCAAATCTTCTTTAGTTTGTCTCTGCAATGTTTTATAGTTTTCAGAGTACAGGTCATCCACACATTTTGTTAAATTTATCCCCAAATATTTTCTTTTTTATGCTATTTTAAGTGGTGTTGTTTGACTTTCACTTTCCAGTTGTTTGTTGCTAGTTATAAATATCCCAGTTGACTTTAAAAATTTGAACTTATATGACTTAGTTTGATTCATTGGTCTTTAAATATTAAAGCAATGCATTTTCTCTCTAAGCAGTGCTTTAGATGCATCTAAAATTTTTTGTATATTATATTTTCATTATCACTCATCTCAAAATGTTCTCTAATTTCCCTTGGAGTTTCTTCTTTCAGTCATGGTTTATTTAGGAATGTGTTGTTTAATTATGAAAATAATTTTGAAATTTTCCAAGTATCTTTTTTCATTGATTTATAATTTAATCTTGTTGACATCAGAGAGTATATTGATTATTATCTCAATCCTTTAAAATTTACTGAAAGTTGTCTTGTGGCCCATACTGTTTGAGAATGTTCCATATGTACTTGAAAACAGTATATATTCTTGATTTGTTGGTACAGCATCTTATAATTGTCAATTAGTTGAAGTTAGTTCTTGGTACTGTATGTCTTCCTTAGCAATTTACTGCATCTTTGATCTATTAGCTACTGGGTTTATTGAAATTTCCAATGCTCACTGTAATTTGTCTGCTTCTTATTTTAGTTCTGTCAGTTTTTACATTGTGTATTTTAAAGCTCTGTTACTACCTTGATGATGTGGCTCCTTTATAAGGTAACTTTCCTTGTCCTAAAGTTGACTCTGTTATTAATATAGCACTTTGGGTTTGCTGTGGGTTAGTGTTTGCATAATATATATATGTATTTTTACCATTATTTTACTTTAATGTATCTGCATCTTTAAAGAGTGTTTCTTGTTGATAGCATGTGATTGGGTTTTGGTCTTTTGTCTAATCTGACAATCCCTGCCTTTTAATTGGCCTGCTTACCTCATTTACACTTAATGTAATCATCAGTGTTACTGTATTCAAGTAAATCATCTTGCTATTTCTTTTTTATTTATCCTATGTTTACATTAATTGGATTTTTTATTATTTTTTTTCCTCTTTATGTTTACCAGCTACACCTTTTTTAAAAATGGTTTCGGTTTTAGTCTTAGAATCTAGGGTTTACAATACATCTTTATCACATTTATCAGTATGTATTACATACTTCAAGTAAACTATAAGTACCTTACACCAGTATGCTTGTATTCCCATTTTCATCCTCTATGCTACTGCGATATGTTTTACTTTTATGTTATGAACCTCACAATACATTGTTATTATTTTTGCTTTGAAAGCTAATTATCTTATGCAGAGACTAAAAGATGAATATATTTGGCTTCTATACTTACCTGTATATTTACATTTTCAGCATTCTTCATTCCTTTATGTGGTTCTTGAATTCATCTGGGAATTATTTTCCTTTGACTTGAAGAATTTTCTTTAATAAATTTCTTGTAGTGCAGGTGTGCTTGTGACAGATTTTCTCAGCTTCTGTTTGTTTGAAAATGTCTTTATTTTGCCTTCAGTTTTAAAAATTATTTTGAAATAATTTTAAACTTACAAAAAAGTTGCAAAGATTTTTATATAGCGAGTAGTCATATTTCCTTCATTTAACTTCCCTCATGTTAACATATTATACAATTACTGAAACTGGAAAGTTATCATTGATATAATATTACTAAATAATTTACACATCTTATTTGCATTTTTGTCCTATTATTTGCATTTTGTCCTATTGTCCTATTAATGTCTTATTTCTGTCATGGCTCCACACCATGTTCTCTCACTGCATTTAATTGACATTTCTCCTTAGGCTCCTCCAAGTTGTAATGGTTCCTTAGTCTGTCTTTGTCTTTTGTGACCTTGACTCTTTTGAAGAGAATCAGCCAATCATTATTTTTTTGGCCATCCCTGCATTTAGTTTTGTCTGATTTTTTTCATGAATAGACATAGATTACACATATTTTTGTGTAAAAATGATGTGACCTCCTCAATGTAGCATCAGGAGGGACATGATATTAAGATGTCATTTCTGGTGATAACTTTGATTCCCTCGTTGAGGTAGTATTTGCTAGGTTTCTCTACTGTAAAGTTATGACAGTGACTTTTTCATCATTAAGTATTATTGTGCAGAGATATTTTGAGATATTATTGTGCAGATAACCTATTTGTCTATTTTGAGATTTTGCAGATAACCTATTTGTCTCATACTTTAAAAATCATTTTAATTAATAACTGAAATAATACACT